GACTGGGAAGGAACCAAATGACCCAGAGGCTCCAGGGCCAGAGACAGCTGAGATGGCAAAGAAACACTTCCAAGAAGATGTAGGGAAACCATGACCCACCCTTCTCTCCCCCTCCGTTTTTTCCAGGCCATGCACAGGACTACCAGTGGATCGGCCTCAGTGACAGAGCTGTGGAGAACGACTTCCGTTGGTCCGATGGGCATTCCCTGGTGAGCCCGCAGCCCGCGGCGGGGCAGCTGCTGCCTTGCAGTTGGGGGAAAGAGGTTCCCCTTGGGTGGCAAGAGCCCCATGAGTTACTTGCTGAGTGCTTAGGCATTGAGCAGAGGCAGCCCCAAACTTTGTAGTAGTGCTTGTGGTTTTTCAAAGCCTCTAGTAAAGGTGGTCAGTTAAGTTCCTGGGCACCGTTGCGATAAAAATAACTGTTGTAGTAGCTTTGCTGGTAACCCATGGTCTCTACTGGTGACATGCATGGGTGAGGCAGCAGGAAGGATGAAGGAGGGTGCAGGAGAGGGAAGGGCTCGGCCTTAGGCAAAGGGCTTTCCTCTCTTGGCAGCAATTTGAGAACTGGCGGCCCAACCAACCCGATAACTTCTTCGCGGCGGGCGAGGACTGCGTTGTGATGATCTGGCACGAGCAAGGCGAATGGAATGACGTTCCCTGCAACTATCACCTCCCTTTCACCTGCAAGAAAGGAACAGGTCAGCACCCTGCACTGCATCGCCAAGGATGGGGGACTCAGACAGTAGCTGCAGGGCTGGAGTGGAGCCCCCAGTGCACATGAATGTAGGTTTTGTGACTGCAAAAGATGGTCAAATAGGTGGAAGGAATTAGCAATAAAAGTTTCCCAAGGGCTTGAAAACAAATGAGGCAAGCCACCAAGGATGGGGTTTCATGTCTCCAGGCAGACATACCCTGGCTGCAGCAGCACCCCATACACTGGTTCCATGCCCTCCCATGGATGCCAGGGGCTGTTGTGATGCCCAGCTCTTGGTGCCTCTCCAGGAGGCAGGAATGGAGTCTTAAGGCAGACAGCGGCTTAATTTCAAGGCCCATCACAGGATTTCCACATCCCCCTGACCCTAAATTTTGTAAACAGAGGAAATCTCTAAGGGATTTAAGGTTTTATGTGAGGGAAAAGAGGAGGCTGTGCGTGCCCAGCCTGCACCAGGCAGGCAGGAGCTGCCTGCTCAGCCAGGCAGGGCTCCTTGAGCTCTACATGTCTGCCCATCTCCTGCAGTGGCTTGCGGGGATCCTCCCGTGGTGGAGAACGCCAGGACCTTCGGCCGGAAGAAGGACCGCTATGAAATAAACTCCATGGTGCGGTACCAGTGCTACCAAGGCTACATCCAGCGCCACGTGCCCACGATTCGGTGCCAGCCCAACGGGCAGTGGGAGGAGCCGCGGATATCCTGCATAAACCGTACGTCTTGGTCTCATCCCCTTTACCTCCAGGTTAGGGCTGATGCACACCTGGAGCTGGGAGAAGGAGCTGGGGATGAGGGGGGCATTATTTTAGGGTGCAGGTTAGCTCTGAGCCAGGCAGAAGGGGACATCATGGTCCCCTTGGCTTGTTGAAAGCTCCCCCATGATGGGACCATGGGGGCTGGCATCTTCTGAGCAGGTGTGGACCACGGGGACTGGCTGGAGGGGCAGCCCAGGCAATTCCTGCCCTGGAGCTTCTCCACCTAGGTAGGATAGGGGCAGGTCCAGAGCCAGGAGAGGGCAACAGGGAGCTTACCAAGGGCCCAGGCTATTTAAAGAAAAGCAAGTAAAAGAAATGGCTTCTGAAAGGGTGAGTTTTGGCACTACCTGCACCAGCAGAGAGAACAGAGGTGGTGAGCTGCGGTCCCCCTGAGCCCTTCCCCAGCATCCTCTTTCCCTGGGAGCAGAAAGGAGCCAAAGGACGGGGCAGGACTCCTGACTCTTCTCCTGTCAGGCCTCCAGCTGACAGCAGCCAGCCCTCTCCCACTGGCGTCCCAGCCCACTCCCAGGCCTGCCTACACCCCTGTCCCATCCCTGCTGGCCTGCAGCTTCCCAGTACAAAAAAAAAAAAAAAGCTGCTCAGCCAAATCACATCTGTCCAGTGGCCTTCTTGCCAGGTTCTGGTCCAGCTGGGCAATTCAAGCTAAAGCAAGTCCCATGGTCAGGGAAAGTCGATACAGGCTTAATGGACAAAACTCCACCCCAGGGAGGAGGAGGGATGAAGGAGGTGTCTGAGGACAACCGCATGGTGCAGACCAAGCCACTGATTCCCTTGGCTCTGCTGCAGACCCAGATAGCTGCAGGCTGTTCCTGGCACAAATCACCAGCAATCAAGAGACCCAGGCTGTTCCCAACCAGCTTTTGCTCCTTCCATCAAATCTCTGGAGCGGTGACGGCTTCGAGGGAGAATGGCGGCAAAGATCAGGCAGAAACCTTGTCCCTGCCTGGCAGACAGGGTTGTTTCCCCTTCCTGTGCCCTAAGCACATGCCACCGCTCATGGATATTTCCCTTCCTGTCCCGGGGGATCAGGGAAGGACTGGTAGGGCAGCGGGCACGCTGGGGAAGCAGTCCCCATGCCCATCCCATTAGCCAAGCTGCCCTCCTGGCCAACCCCAGGGAAGGGATGGCACAAGCATCCACAGAGAGGATTCTCCTGCCCAGGCTCCTGGGAGGCACCGGGCACCTTCACCCCTGGGTGAAGCAAACCCCAGCTGCAGGGGTGAGAGAAGGTCTGATTGTGCATGGGCAGGCAGGCTGGCGCCGGGGCACACGCAGCCGCCCACCGGGCAGCACTGCCTGCGGCTGCCCGTGTTTTTCCAGAGAGCCAGGGGCCAGGGCAGCCGGTGCAGGACAAGCAACGTCTCTGTCCCAGCTCCTGCTAACAAGGTGCCTTTTCTTCTCCTCCCTCTTCTGCAGCCTCCAACTACCAGCGCAGGCTATACAAGAGGAGCCCCAGGAGCCGGTCGAGACCCAGCGGCAGAGCCGTGCACAGACCCACCCATTAGAGCGGGGCGAGAGAGACCGAGGGAGAAAGAGAGAAAGAGAGATTTTTAACAGAACAGTTATATTAACAGAGTCGATTTCTTCTTCTTCTTGTTGCTTTTTTGTCATATAAGGAAAAAAAAATTATATTAAAGACAAACCCACCTTTGTGTATATATATAAAAAAAAAAAAAAAATAATGTTTTTCCAAGCACCAAAGCAAAGTGAATTAGATCTCAGCATTTTTACTAACCGTCCGGTTCCAATTATCTTCGTGCCTTCGGGGACAGGGAGGGGGGTGGGGTTGCAGAGGGCAGGGGGTTAAGTTAAATAATAAAGATGATTATTTTTTCCTGATTTTATGCACGAACAATGTAATTATTTCTGTTATTTAATCTCCGAGGTGAACAGCACCTTTTGGGGTTTTATTTTATTTTTTTTTTCCAGAATCCTCCTACTGCTGCAGCGCGTCAGGGTGGGTGGGGAGGGCCGGGGGGCTGCGGTGGAAGGAGCTGTGGGAAGAGGGAGGCGAGGGGATGCTGAGACCTGGGTGCTGGGGGCTGCGGCCCCTCTCTGCTTTCCCGCTGCCCCCCCTGCAGCACAGCACCCATCCCGGGATGATGTGCTCTTTCCAGGGGACCGTGCGGGGCACCAGCGTTCCCTGCACCTATTTATATTTTTAAACATATCCTATTTTGAAAGAATGATAAATAATAAAGAGAGTGAAATCGGAATGGGCACTTTGTCAGTGTTGGTTTTTTTGAGGA